CGGTAATTGAATTTCCCTATTTCCATGTATCTCCTTAGCAACCTTTTCATCACGAATCTCTGCTGGTGGACCGGAAAGAGTCGAAACTGACCAAAGCAGAGAAGAGAGCCGCCAAGAAGAGCTATGAGGATGAGAAACGAGCGTCGGTGCCCTACTCTCGCCCCTCATACGCCCCTTATTACCCAACGAGTGATCAGACACTCACAAACATACCGGCATTTAACCAACGCGGCTGGTGAGTTTTGGATAATTGTTCATTTACATTTTCCTCCACCAAAATATATGAGCAGTTCCATCCACCTCAAATCTGAAAATGAGTGTCTGCCATCCTTACTGGCAAAAACACGACCAAAAATAAAACCGCCATTACATTTATATGTTTGAGGTTGTAACTCTTTGTGAGTTCATCGTCTTTCTCTAATGAATTTCCATTAGACGGGTCACAATTGTTTGTGAGCATCTCATGAATTCAGCTCTCATATTTTCAGGCGTGCCATGGTGCGGCCGGATGACAAGCCTGTGGCAAGTGTTAGACCCATCCAGTCAACCCCAATTCCCATGATGCCCCGCCAGGCCGGCATGGGCATGTCTGGCTCCAGCTCTGTGGGCAGCCTGCCTGTCAACTTCTTGCAGAAAGCTGGAGTTTATGTGCAGAGGATTACAACCACAACTGGTATGTATAATCTCAGTTAATGATTAAATCGTACAACAACTCCCAAATGTTACACCCTTTTAGTATTTAAAGATTCAAAAACATTAATTATGTTTTGTGACTGTAGACTTTGTGACTAATGTAGGCCATTTTGTCCAAATCTACAGATATTGTAATCCCAGGATCCAACAGCACAACAGACGTTCAAGCTAGAATTTCTGCAGGAGAGAGCATCCATGTGATCAGAGGATCAAAAGGTAGTTGCAACAAAGAATAAAAGTTCTCCTTTTTAAAAATTATTTTGAGTGATTTACTCCATCTCTTGATATTTTCTAAAACACAGGTACCTACATTAGGACAAATGATGGAAGGATTTTTGCTATTCGATCTGGAAAAATCACTAGGCAAGCTGTTGGGGGCTCTGCTGCCTCAAGAGGTACAAACACATATTTATTATTCTTGGTTCTCACACAATGTTAATTTGTCATGAGAAATACTATACAACCAGAGTTGTATACTGTCTTCTGTGGCTCTATACATGGCCTTATACAAATCAATTAAAAGGTAGCTGCCTATTTGTTGTTGTTACTATCAGCAGATGGATGTGTTAGTAGTTGAGCTTTTAAATTATGCTAAAAAAAGTCACTTTCCATCATTGTTTGCTTTAACCCCACAAACAGACCATGCAAATGTTTAAATCTTAAGTATGACAAATAAGACATTTTAGAGGAAAATAAATAAAAGGAATCACAGTTTATACTTGTTCCCATGATTTGGCTATGTAGGACACTGTACATCTATCCTGACATTTCATGGCTGCATTGCTCTCCCCCCCCCCCCCCCCCCCCCACAGACATCCAGGGCTCCCATATCCATGCGCTCAGTAACGGCTGTTTGTCGCCTGCGGATCATCAGCAGGGCTCCCCCAGCGAGGATGGGCGGCCGTCCTCTCCCTTGAGCACGGAGATCCTCAGAGAGCTCAGCCGCTACACTTCATCCACAGGAGATGCCAACGCCGGCAGTGGGAATGAGTTGCCGTCAGAAATGTTGGCATTACCAGCGGGTGATGAAGGAAGTTCGCAATACAACCAGAGCGGTGATCTGAGCAGGCAACTCGGTGAGGACCTCTTGAGCTCCGCTTTAGAGATGCGTGGCAGCAAGCGCAGAAGCACTGAGAGCCAGGGCAACACACCGATAGGAGGCAAACGCTCTTCTTCTGCTGCATCACGTTACCCCGGACTGTCCATGGGCTCCAGTGGGCTCAGTTTCCCCCCCGGTGGTCTGAACTCCTCCTCCCTGCTGGGGAACATGGGTCACATGAGTCACCCTCTTCTAATGGGTGGTGGTGGAGGGTCTTCATTCCTTCAGGCTCCAGGACAAACCCTGGCTGACCTACAGACCATGTTCACCTCTGCAGGCTCGGACCTACTGAGACAGCCGTCCACAGGGAACGGACACCTCCCCACCCCCTCCTCCTCGTCCTCCTCTATGTCTCCCGTTTACTCCTCTGCTTCGGCCACCATCCCTATGTCATCTACATCCTCGACAGCGACTTCCTCCTCCCTGGCTTCAGGTTCTCTGCCTCCCTACCTGATGAATCCCAACATGGCCGACCTGCTCTCGTCAGGCTTCCCCCTCAACTACAGTCAGTCGCTGCTCTCTGAGTCCAGGATGTTCTCCAGCCCTCTCCTTTCAGGAGGATTTCAAACGCCCAACTCCAGCTCTAACACATCCAGTTTCCTCTCCCATTTCAACAACCCAACTTCCAGCCTTTTGGGGGCAGCTCTCACCCAACCGGACATACATCAGAGTACGGAGAACGGCGGCAGTAGTTCTGATGACGATGTTATTGAGGTGACAGGACAGTAGAGACTTAAGAAGCCCTGGAGATGCAGTTTCACACATAAAACAGTTTAATCAATCACGGCTAACACAAAATACATTAGGAGTGGGAATTATTACATGTTTAAATTAACTAGATTGACTCTGTTACAGTATCTACCCGATTTGTATGAACTGATGAGTGATAGACAGGCGTATTGGCATACTCTGAATATGTAATTACATCATAAAGAAGACAGAAAAGGAAATTCCACAATGATGACTTAACTGGTCATCTAGATTTTAAATGCACAAATAAATACAACTTTTCAGGAACTTAAAAGATCATTGCTAATCCAAAACAACAACTTAGAATTTGGAAAAGCCTGTGATAAGTTAAATGTGTTTCAAGCCCTTTAAATCAGTTTTACATAATCACCAGTGAAGTGAACTCTAATACCATTCCTAATGGTCTCATGAAACTACACACACACCCAGATTCTCACCTGCAAGGAGAACTTGTACCTCAATGACTTTTCGAAGTCAGAGTAACAAATCCTTATGCTGAATATCTGGGACTTGTTCAGCTGAAGCATCAGAGCAGTGGGATCAGAACTTTGTCGTTCGGGGACCAGCTGAATTTTTCCGAGGCTTTCTAGCCTCGCCTGCTACACTTTAAAGCGAGGCCTCGTCTTTCCTTTATTTTTATTTCCCCTGAGTTCAGAAGAAGTCATGTGATGAAAACAGCTTCATGTCCGATTGCCTCATGATATATTGCTGTGAAACAGTCTAGTACAAACCAAAATTTGACTTACTGTTCCACATGTCAGCAGTACTCACCTGCTGAACATGTATAATAACACAATCATTTTCTTTCAGCACAGTTTCCTTTCTAGTAAACAATACCAGAAAGTTAAAAAGTACAAATAACTCACAATGGCCACAGAACGTGGGCTTAATGTTTTTAAAAATCCTACTAAGCTTACCTTTAACTCAGAAATCTTAGGCTCTCTGAGAATACTTTACTCTTTAGCAATTTGATAGGCGTTGTAGCATCCTCTGTTGAAAGGATATTATGTGTGATACTATAACTGAATATGTTGATACTTTGTATATAGCAGTCATTATCATTGTTTATATTGCAAGTCAATAATGTGCAGTGTGTAGATTTTGGTTGTAGGGAGAGGTTTTATTATTACAATCATGATGATAAACATGCTCTCCCATTTATGCTGAGGAAACACATTTACGTTCAACTTTATAATTTACCTTTTTTACCCCCTTAAAACTAAAATGAATGTATTTACTGTTAGCCTTTGATAACGCAGGGGCTTGGAACATGGATTCGGACTGTGTGTGTTCTTTCATATTTAGCCTTAAATAACACAAAGGGGTCTTGAGTCTTAGCATTTTTTAGAATCTTAGTGCATTCTTTTACAAATCTGTTAGAGATAGTGAGTATTTAGACCGTTGGTGTCAAACAAAAAAAAGTGTTGGTCAGATTCAGGATTGTGATATAGAGAAGTGTGAAAGCCAAAAGGAACACAAAAGGAGTTTAATGTTGCTTACTCGGTCGCCTCTTTTGTTGCAGTTTTTACAGATCAGTTAGCCTTGACTATACATGTAGATTTTACCCCTTTTTTCATCCCCTTGCTAAAAAACAAACGCAACCAAACCGTAGAACACATTGCATTCATGCAGCCTGAGTCAATGTCCATCAAAAGGGGTATCAAGCATTTCACTACGACCACCTCTGACTGGCAGAACCAGGTCCGGTATGGTAGCCTTACCAAAATGACACTGTCATAACGTGGTAGCTTTTAACAGAGGTGCGTCTTTTAAAGCAGTGCTGTGTAAGTAGCTTCTGTCAGTCGTGTCAGTCAGTGTAGGTCAGCGGTGCTTTAGGGAGTTTAGGTCTTTGCTGTTCTCTGTAACCTTGTGTTTCTGTGTTTTGAAGACACCTCTAGGTATGTAGATTTAGACAAGTCTTTCTCCTCTGTTGGTCAAATAGGCCAGATGCAGTGGTTGTTAGCATTTTATAGAAACACTGGATAACCTGAGACAACAGATCATTCCCTTTTTTGAAGTATTTTTTGAAGTATTTTTTTGTAGATTGTCTTTCCTTGCGGGGACCTTTTTCTCCCAGACTACGTACTGTTCACTTTCTGTTACTAATGGCTGCTTCCAGTGGTTGTTCTGGATGTTTCCTTTTTTTCATCAAGGATATCCAGTTTTCTTCCCCATGTCTTGGAATCTTGAATTGGTTTGTGTTTGACCTGGCACTTTGAAAAAGTATCATATCTGTTGGTTAACTGTATGAGGTAAATCATACTGACGCCATGTCTTTATTCTCCGTCTTCTCGAAAAACGCTTTGCATTTGAGTCTTGGAAATTATCAGTTTATAAAACATAACCTGTCTGCCATTTCTTGTCAAATATGTGGAATTTCTATGTTTAATTAAATATTTCTTCTTTTTAAATGTTTTTTATAACTTCCTATTGGTGTTCACTCACCTGACAGTTTCCGTTTTTTCAACGTCTGAAAGTTATTTATTTATGATGGAAAATACATTCTTTTTTGTAATCATGTTTTTTAACTTTGTGTTCACCTTGACCCATTGATGACTGATCCAGTAAGAATTTCATAAATGCAGCCTAGAGCGAGCAGAATATGACTGTGTTATCAATGTTATTTTAACAATAAAAACACTCTTCTATTGCATTGTGAATCATTTGAAAATGCTTTTAAATGTACAACATATATTCAGTATGATATATCGTTTTAATTCAAAATGTGGCTAAATAAATAGTCAATGGCAGCAAAAAAAGTCAGAAGGCAGGATGAGCAACACGAGTTGTCAACAATAACTCAAGGCCGTTTTCACGATTGCATAAATACTGTTCATGCAATTTGAGCGATGCCAGAAGTTCTGCTGCACAGCGATTCTTTGCAAAATTCGAACGCAAGCATGCTCGCACACTGATTCTTAACAGGTGTACAGTTTGTGATGTTAACCAGTTTAATTAAGCATGTTAGCATTCTAATATCAGTTATTTTACCTGTTAATAATGTAGAGCTGAGGCTGATTGGAATATCAATCATTTTGGAAGTATTCAGTCAAACTGAAGCTCAACATGTGTACCATTTCATATGAAAACTCAAACAATTAAAGATGACCCAAATCCCAACAAAAGAAATGCAGATGAAATGACCTCAATGGACCTGTGTATAGCACGTAAAAAAACAAAATGATTGCATCAACATTTGGCACTGGTGCTTCATGATATAACAAACAGGCACGTAGCTGCAGACATTAGTTCCTTTTTGACTTTCATGCAAATCAAGCTGATTCGATGTGCCTGAAAAATGAAATCGTTGAGGCCAACCTTGCTTTAGTATTCAGTGAGTGTTATATTAAATTGTCAATTCTGTGTCTTCTTTCAGGACTGTAACCGTTTTTTTGCCGTGTATGCCCTGCTGACTTGGTTCATTATGACGAGGGCATTGAGAGCAGTGCAGAGTGCTGACAGGTACCAGGTGTATTCCCCGACAGACGCAGTGAACCATGCAGAGCTGAGGCCCAGGAGAAGGCTGCCACTGCCCAGCAGGTACGTGACGAGCCCGGATGCTGCATGGTAGCGTTTGAGTTTGGCCAGGGACCAGCCTTTGGCCAGAGAGTGGTAGATGAGAGGCAGTGCTGCCACAGACTGCAGCCCCACCACACACACTGTGAGCAGGCCCAGCAGACCATGCCACGAGGTGAAGTGGGGTTTACCATTCAGGTGTTTGTTGTAAACGATGGCTGCCAGACCCAGGACTGCACAGGTAACACAGAGGCACTGCAGGATCCAGTGAGCACGACCTTTTGTCTTGTGTGGAAACTTTTGGGCGAGGGAGCCGTGGGGGGAGAACAGGAGTATGGCTTCTGTCATGAAGAAGGAAAACTAGTGGGAGAGGGGAAACAAATTAATGGGGCTGCAATAAGCCAAAATGTCATTGTTGATTCAAATGTTGGTCTATAAAATATAACATATCCATCACATTTTCAAATTGCAGGTGTTGAAGCTGGGTTTCTAGAAAATGAATTAGTTAGCAAAGTAGTTGTCTGATATGTTTCAATTACCTACAAAAAATGATTAACTGATTAACAGCTCAAAAAAGTGTAATTCAAACGTTTTAATTAACTTATTTCATGTGTTAACAGCTGGAAAGATTTAATAGGAAACTTAAACGTTCAACTTACAGCCAGTGTCATGAAGAAGGGATGCCAAGAAAACAAACCTATGACAAAAAAAACAGATAGTCAAATGAATACCTGGCATGCCAAAAGTAGGCTACTTATATTATGAATATGTTTGAAAAATAAGAATAAGACTCACTTGTACCCGGTCGAGACAGAACTGCAATGAACACAGTGAAGGAGATGCACATAAAGTGTGTGAGCACTGTGGTAGCTGTTCTGGTATAACCGTAGATTCGAGGCTCAGATTCAGGCTCTTTGTTGTAAGCCATGATAAAAACAATGTATGTGAATTTGGGCAGCACCGCTGCTCCCGACCACCCCACAGGTTTACGTCTACAGTGTATGTTTGTCACCTGAAGTGAACTCGCAGCTTCAGAATAACAGAAGCGGAAGAGATGCTGGATCAAAAGTAACCGTTGCCTCTTCAAGTGGTGTTAAAGCCAGAAGACGGGACTTTTCGACACAAGTCTACCTTACCAGATAAGTGTTGCAAAGTGGTAAGACTTTACCAATAATAGATGTATGGATAAAGTCCAACACGTTGTTATCATGGATGTATAATAAAAAGTTTGTTATGCATGTCTACCGGCTAGGAAAATATAACTTCCGGTTGTTTAATTTCAGAATAAAGCTCTCTATAAACCACTTCACCTCAAAATACAATCACACGTTTGTTATGGTCATATACATATACCAATAGTTTTATTATTGATTTGACCGTCCCTCAATCAATTGAACGATTATAATTCAGCTTTGTATTGTAGGTGAAGAAGAGTTTTAGCAGTGGGTCAATGTCTATTTGAATGAAAATAAATAGCTTTCCTAAAGCTTTTATTGTGAAATCGGAATAATCAGAAATACAGCTTGAAGCTCCTCAACTGACGTGGATGCCTCTCTTCAAAGATTTCCCACACACATTGAGCTAAAACACATTCAGCCGGAGCTGAAGGCACAGAGTTGTATTTAAAGTTGTGAACATAAATTGGGTTATCATGTACATGTCTAATCAAAGTCTGTAAATCAGAGTAGGATGTGATACCTGGGACTAATGGTCTGAACAGCACCCACTCCACATTACCTAACAGTTCAGTGGACCCTCACTGGTCAGCTGTTCACAGGTTATTGTGCTCCAATTACTCTCCGATAAGCTTGTGACTCTGCACTGCCTCCACACACTGGGCACACAGAGCAAAAAAACAACAACATGTTTATTCAGGACATCCCTTTCTTTGTTTTCTGTCTGTTTTACACACAGATTATATTATTGGCACATTATGCACCAACCATAGGGACAGATGTTCTATTCAACATATCAAAAGTCAAAGGATAGATGTTACTGTGTTTATGTAAGCCTACATTGGGTGTTGCTTTGTTTGTTTAAATGTTTTCCAGAAAAGCCAGACTTGTGGTTTCCTATTATGACCCATACTCATAACTCATGCGCTTTCTCCAGATGGTGGCAGTAAGATGTACCATCAAAATAATAGTTTATAAAAAGATCTACCTCCCATGTGTCAAGTCGATATGAGAATCAGAATTATAATGCATCCAATCTTTATGCCTACTTGACTTCTAAACAGTGAAAGAAGTATTGTAATCATCTTCTTAAGTCACTGAAACTATAGCATTGTCGTTTAGTTAATAAGAAAATGCCAAGTAAATCGTCCATTCAAAATGTCCATTGAATAAAAGTACACAAGTATTAGCACAAACTATCCTTTAGGTTTTTTCTGAAAGAAAAAAAACGTATAATGCAAATTGCCACCATCAGTGTAATTGGTCAATTCATTACATTTTTAATTGTATCAATGACTGAACACAATTTATTTTGAAATGCCAGTGATGAACAAGAGTCATTAGACAATTCTTGTTTAATTACTGGGTGAAACAAATTATCATTTTAATGTTTGGCCAATAAAATGAAGCCACACATGTATTACTCAAATTAACGTTGTTCCTAATGTTAATCATTATGGTTGAAACATTATTGTTGATAGTGGTTACTTTATTTACATACTTGCTACATGGACTGAAAAATAACTGTGAAGAAAATAAGAGAGTGGTAGTCTCATTGTATTCCAAAATGTCTGGTTTGAAAGAGATAACAAGAGCCCTTCATCATCCTCCCCCATATTTAAGCCTGGAGGCTTTTTCCCCATTGAGTGATTTCCAAATGGTCTATAATTAAACATTAAAGAGTCTATTCTTTCCAAAATGAGATTGACCGTCATTTGAAAAAAAGTGAATCCGTATGTCTGTGTCAGGTTGTATAAATGAAAGCACATTACATACTAAATCCCTTTTCGACTAAAGTCATTTCCTGTGATTTTTTGGGGCGTTACAAAATGATTCAACTGTGCAATTGTTTTGTATGGATCGCATAGGTTTTAACTGCAATTTACCTTCTCACGTACCATACCAGGTACCTTTTGCATGTTTGTCTAAAATAAAATGTAGAATAAACGGACCTAAACGCAGAATATACAAAATGTGCCAAAATAATTATTTCATTTATATGTATTTTTAATATAGGTGTACACATTGTAAGGCTTTATTAATGGCCAATAAATAATGTACTAATGATTTACATACAGTATTATAAGAGCAACAGTATAACGAATATATTGATTTAATATGCTTATCATTTATATTGTGTAATGTTTTTATTTAATTAGTTATAAAAAAAATACTATAAATGTACTATAAAATGTATAGTACAGTTATAGTTTTTTTTACATCAATTCTTTATAGTTATTTAAAAAATATATAAAAACTATAAATAATTGATTAGCACAGTATATATATAGGTTTGCTTAAAAAAATAAAATAAGTATTATTTCAAAACCTACAATTTATGGACTACAAGTTTATTATGATATTGACCCATCGCTGTCTACATCAGTGCGGCGTGACGACAGAGGGGTCTCTTCCCGTGGAGCCTCCCCTCAGGATACTTTATTCACATACCGGATTAGACTGTAATCCTTTATATATACAGTCTATGCTGTAATCCCACGGTCACATTGTGCATGCGCAAATTGAAGTGCGCGCGAGGGGCGAGCGGACGAGGGACCGTCGGTGTTAGTAGGCTACAAACGACAAAACTGCAGCCTATCTCAAATCTACTCTACGATGAGTGGCGAGGATGAATTAAACGAGGTAAGGTTATTTTAACTCCTCTTCTGTCAGGAAATCAGAACACTTGCTCGGGTGTGACTGTCAACTGAGTTGTTTGTCCCATTCTCGGAGAGGATTACCGGTCTGGCCCGTTACTGAGCTGCACTTTGCAACCATGACAAATGCAGAATTAAAGGAAGAATATAAACTTTAATGATCTAGCCATGTATGCCAGTTTCAATCTATTGACTAAAGTAGCAGGCTGTGCTCGGATGATCCCGGTTACAATATGTTCTTGTTGCCCTGCTAGGATAATTGCACCGTGTGGTGAGTGACCCACTTGGCAGATAGAGCCCCGGGTTGTTCGTATTCAAATCACAATGCTGCCCTGGGAAACTAATGAAACTGAGTTTCTGATGCACCCAAGAACACGCATTCATCCTACTGACAATCTGGAAGATGTATTCATTTCCTTCCATGCAGGGTTGGGGTCACTTTAAAAGTGTATTTCGGTACAAAGTATCTTTAAAACTAAATGTAATCAGTAACCTAATCTGAGTATCAAGATATTTTCTGAAATTTACAATAACATAGTGGAGGAGATGTGTAGACAACAAACATAAATAAAGTTAAGTATTTTACATTACAACGGGCTATATTTCACCACTGTGTTATACACATTTAGCATTTAGTTGTTATGCATGAGAGTCTCTGATCATAGACTAAAAAACATGCATGCTGTAGAAATACATTTACAAATACAAGATAGTTCTCTGGTTTCTGAATTGTTGGATACAATTGTACTGGCCAGGGGTGTTAATTAACTAAGTACATGTACTCAAGTAATGTACTTAAGTACAATTTTGAAGTACTTGTACTTTACTTGAGTGTTTCCATTTTGTTTTACTTTGTAGGTAAATATTGTACTTTTACTCCACTACATTTATTTAATACCTTTAGTTACTTTGCAGATTTGGATTAATGATAAATCATATGATCAACACTTAAATCAGACTTTAGTTACACCTGGAATTAATTCACAAGCTACCCAGCAGCAAATGAAGTAATTAAAACTAGTTGCACCTTTAACAGCTTTAATAAACACATTAATGCATCAATAATGCTAAACATAATAATCATTTATATACGATTCTGTAATGGACCAATCTGTAAGTACTTTTACTTTAAGTATATTTTGATGGCAATACTTTTGTACTTTTACTTGGGTAACATTTTGAATGCAGGACCTTTACTTGTAACAGAGTATTCCTACACTGTACTTCTATTACATTACATGTCACTTGCAGGGCTGCCAACACTCAAGCATTGAGCGTGAGAGTCACGCAATTAACCCATATCTCACGCACTCACGCCACACTTGCCTTTCCTCACGCTAAGTTTTCGTCCAAAATAAATGTATATAAATATACAAATAAAGTGAAGGAACAGCAAACCGAGCGGTCTTCTGGCTTAGTTCAGTAAAGTTGGAACGATATTGAGAGAATCTGATTTCACGGATCAATAACTCATGAACAAAACGTTATTCAGACACAAATGACGACACCTAAGTACCGTTGTAAGGTTGACAACGAACTATCAATCAACTACAATCACATTTTGATTAAAAAGCCAATACGCGCCGTCCTCCGAGCTGGAGACATTACATTGATTGGTCTCTATCTGCAGCCGGAGAAGAAACGAGTGCAAAGTGCAACTCCGAAAAAAGAGAATACAATAATATTCAATCACTATTATAGGCCTACACTATATTACTACCAAACTCACCACACACATCAATAGTCTCCTGTGTGTCATACTACAGCAAGGAGAATATGCTTTTGAATAATTGTGGGGAATATTTCTAAATCTTCAGGCATCATCTTAAATAACTTTACTATTATACAGTATATTTCTACCAAACTCACTATTTGCATTGTTGTTGTTAGCATCTGGTTAGCTTAACGGATATTAGAAGCTGTTTCTAAAACAATGAGAGGGAGAGCTCTGTCCAGTCAGACTGAGAGATAACTACAGCTCAGTGAGGTAAGGGACTCTCTGTTTAGATAGTTAACTTTAGTCTAGTTATCTCAGTGGGTCTCAAACGGTTTGGTCACCATTTATGAGAATAAATGAAAAACAGTCATGAAATACTATATGACAGTAAAACAAGAATACAGTTTAAAAGGTGAGTGATTTGTAAAATATCCATAGAGAAAAAGAAAATCTATGTACAGTTCTGTTTCATATGGGTGTTGAGAGAGGTATCCATAAATTCATTTTGCTCTCAAAATGCACCAGGTTGATGCATTTAACTTCAATATTTAGCATGCCCCCGGACCCCCCTAGAGGAGGTGAGGACCCCCCCCCCCCCCCCCCCCCCCACTTGTAAAATAGCACTTTACCTCTGCTTACACCTATATGCCATTTTATATGCTGTGAGCTGATTATCGAGCCTTCATTGTAAGAGTCGCGGGTACACTGTGTATGTGCGTGTTCCACTGTAGCGCCCGTGGGAAATCCTAGTTTGTACATGTTCAATACATTTGTAACAATGCACACATGAACGGT